AGGCTCGATGAAAGGATTAGACTCTTCAGACTCTTAAGCCTCCAGGATTACCCATGAAATTCGGATTGGGGGTGATGCATGCGAGAAACCATGGAAAAGACCATTGGATAACGACCAATGGAATCCGGGCCTATAAATATCATTGTCTTGTGAAAGAAAAAAGACCAGAAAAGAGGAAGCTGTCATAAAATGTTATATGCTTGCCCTACCGCCATTTAAGTCTTGTTAATTAGTCTTCTTCTCCTCCTCCTACACTAAGCGTCTCCTCTGTTTCCTTCATACTTGTATTTCTAATATCACCATTATATACTTGTTTTCTAATTGATCAAAAATGAACCCCTACAAAAGTCATGTATCCTTTCATGACCAGTGGCGTAGCCACATAGAGACAAGTGGGGGCAGTTGCCCACACTGAATTTTTAATTTTTTTAATTTTTTTTTAATTTTATATAGAAAATTTTTTATATTTCTATAATTGTCCCCACTAAAAGTTGAAATTGCACATAATCTTTCCAAAAAAGGAATATAATTTTTTCAAAAAATATGATATTTTTTTCCGCTTTCTTAAAATATTATATTCTTTCACACTTTCTTTAAAAATACAATATATTCTTTCTAATTTATGACTTTAGCATAAACAAATGCGTTGTTAATTTTCAAAAATTCACAGTGCGGAGACAGGTAATCTGATATATAATTTTTTATCATTTAAATTTACTATTATTATGCCATGAACATTTTTAAAACTCGATTGCGTGCTTTCAGAATATAAAAAATATTCTGAAATATTTAGTACTGTTTAATTTTTACATATATTATTTTGGTTCAAATGATATATTCAAATAATATATATAATTTTTACATATATTATTTTGGTTCAAATGATATATATATATATATATATATATATATATATATATATTATTGCTGTTAAAAATTGCCCCCATTGAAGAAAATTTCTGACTAAGCCACTGTTCATGACTAATGAATGCAATATTCAGAAACCATTTCCTGTCTTCGTTTTTTTCTTACCTAACTTTGCAAAGACGTTCTTCAAAACATTTTTCTTTGTCAAATTGCAGAATCCTCCACCTCAACCGCAATAGTCATGAGACACCTTGCTGATACCTATCCACCATCAAATAGAGTAACTCGTTTAGTCACAGTGTAGTTCATACATAGAACCCATTATTGTGTTCGTGGTGAGCATTGTGTCACCCCTCCTAGCCAATGGGTACCCATACTTCATATATATATATATATATAACTGCTCATATAAACTGCAGTTTTGATCAAAAATGACAACATTATCCACATTAATACATTAATTTCACGGTCTTGCCCACAAAAGAAAGACTTCTAACCTGAATTTAAGATAAAATAAAAAGTTCAGCTTTCCAACCTGAACCATACTTAATATACTCAACACAGACCATACACCCATCAATCAACAAGGTTCCAGTAAGAAGCAGAACTTGCTCACAGAAGGCTAGCTCAGGGTCACAGATCAGCTACAGTAAATTAAAAAATAAAAATAAAACAGACATGTAGTTGAGGCTTGTTGGTCTGAGATGATGGCAACTCAAGCACATTCAAGGTGAATGCAACTCAACCTACCACTCTGGAAAAAAAAAAACTCAACCAGCTATTGAAATTGTAGTTCATTCCTGTATGTGGAATACTTAGATTTGGGGGAGCTCTTACCTCCTCACATTCCACAACTTGTTCGCCATTTTTTATTTTCGCATCTTTGATTAGTGAGAAGAATTTACTGTGCATTGTCATGGATATAATATAAAATTAATACCTCGAAATTAAGGCTTGTAGGACATACGCTTGTCTCATTTCCTCCAATTTATTTTTATTTTATTTTATTATTATTATTATTTTTTTTTATTCCTGTAGCATTTGGTAGTGTAAATTCTTGCATAATCCAATTGTTCTTTTTCCCAGGAGGTTTCGCCAATGCAGGCTGTGTTGTCTATGTAAATTACAATCAACCAATTAGAATTTTAAGCCGGGCATCTCACAATGTATTGTCTCAGAAGAAAGAAAATTAGAATTTTTTTTTTTTTAAATTCCTGTAGCATTTGGTAGTGTAAATTCTTGCATAATTCAATTGTTCTCTAATTATGGTAAAAAAAACTCAATTGTTCTCTAATTATGGTAAAAAAAACTAACAGAAAAACTCAAATACTTTCTAAAGCAGTGTATAATCTCAGAAGGATTTGCCCTTGTCTCACATAACCGGTGCGACAGTCAAAAATGAAAAATTCGAGGGTCCAGCCTTTGCAAGCTTCTTGGGAAGATAATCCAGAATCGAAAACATTCACGATTACTCCCCATGGTGCAATAGTGAAAGGGATTTAGGTTCAAGAGGGTATGAAAGAGAAGGGGCTCGCATGGGTTCAGGCTATCAATCGAAGGTTCGCGAACCAGATGGTGGTAGGCAAAGGATAGAATTTTCAGAATAAGAGCAAAGTTCTACTACATCATCTTCAGCATTGCCTTATGCCCATATGAATGGACTCTATACCTTTCTACCAACCACCATATCACAAAGTTTCAATGAGCTTCAAAATCCAAGAGCACCAAAATGATCACAAAGAAAATAGTGTGCTTTGACATGCAAGCAATTTATTTACCAAAAAGGAAAAAAAAAATCATAAAACTTAACATATAAAGGAACTTCAATTAAGTAATTCAAAAATCACACTCTTTTTTTTTTTTTTTTTTTCAATCATCCACAACCACAAAAAAAATTCACAATCCATATAGTGATCATACGCCTTTGGGCTTCTTATACTTCTTTCAGATGGTAAACTATCCAAATTTATACAGCCTCCCCTGTTGTCACGGTATCTCTCACAAATGATTCAGAAACAGTCATAGGGTGCTAGAGGAAGTATGGAAAACATAAAAGAATTTATGTTTCCACCTAAAGGGAATGCGATAAACCAGCATGATGTAGTTTGTTTTGGTTTTGCCTTCAGCCTAATGAAAGATAAGTCTTTAATACTGGTTTTGCTAAAGAATATTTCCCAGAGCTTCTGTCCAAACAAATTAAACAAAAACAAAAAGTAACTGAAATTGAGAAAGGAAACCAACTGTATGAGGTTTTCAAACCTGAAATCGGAACAAGCTTCTACACATGTCAAAAATGAGTACATGATGTTTTTAAGCATCTAAAAAGGATCAGTTTTACTTCAAACTTGCTGGTATCAGGATTTCATCAAATCTTGCATTTCAACTTATATAGGTGATTCAATGTCTAACTATGACACTTACCAACTCGTGCACTCAACTTCAATATCAAACAATGAACCAATTCGAAATTCATTAGATGTCGACACAACCCCCAAGTAATTAGGGCAGGTGTGACAGAGCGTAAACAATAAACCACTCTCTCAAATATTTGCTAAAGCCTAGTACAAACAACATGAATCTCCAATCAAATTCAAAGAGATTACAGCATTATAATGATCAAAATAATGTGCGTAGGTATGTAACAATTTATTATCAAAAATAAAACACATCATATAGATACAGCTTCAAAATAAAATGGCATCAAAAGTGACATCATTCCAGGAAAAAATATATATACAGCAGCAAATGGAGGCTTCGGAAGTGTAAAGCTACAACACAAGTTAAATGCACCTTCCCATTAAAAATTGTTCACTATGTGCAATGTATAATCTATGTGTAATGTAAAAACTTACCCAATAAAGGATGGCTAAACCACAAAATATTCAACAAAACACATCGTTTTCATCCATAGGCAGAACATCCAAGTTATCTAACCATATGATATTACTTACAATATCAAGGTAGGCAGTAAGCTCTGCTCGCTCAAATATTTTCCAAGGCAGTATATAAACATCATGAATCTCCAATCAACTTCAAAAGCTTTGTGCAACAGAATAAATAAAAAAAATAGTGAGCCTGGACAAGCATGCATGTAACCATTTATTTCCCAAAAAAGAAAATATAAATAAAACTATAGAACACAGGCCAAAAATGGCATAGAAGATGCACTGATCTCAACTTTACATATATAAAGGAACTTCACTGATTACTTACCGTGAAGAATAAGATTTGAGAAAGACAACTAAGCAGCAATTGTTAGCTTCAACAGTTATAGCTACAAAAACAAGTTATCCACACCTTTTCCTTGAAAATTGTTTACTATATTGATCATATAAAATTATAGAAAATAAAATAAAAGATAAATTTACTATAACCACAAAATACTCACCAAAACACATATTTTTCATACATATTCACCCTTTCCTCTCTCTCTCTCACAGTCAAAATTTTAATTTTACAAAATTGAGGCACAACGAAAGAGGAGGAAGCTTTCCAGTGCACTAGGGAGGATTGAGACCACCCCATCGGCAATGGGGCTCAACGGTGGGATGATCTCAACCCTTTCCACTCGAAAGTTTAGTGCCCCGGAGAGGATATTTCTGTGAGGCATAACATTCAACCATACGAGATGGTGTAAAACATCAAGGTTGACACTATTGATGTCAGTCCACTGCAAGGACTGGAAACACCACATTGCATCATTGCTCAATACCATAAAGAAAAATTGCAGTTAGATATGACCCAAAAAACAAGTGCTCACCACTCAAAGAGAGAATTCAATGCAAAGGTGAATTTGAATATCCATGTGTGGCCTAATACAATTAACAAGAACGAATACCGACACTTAATAAAGTTAAAAAGCAAATGCGTCAAATTTTTACTATTTTGTCACTAAATTGAATCATTCTTTGTTAAGAAATACCAAATTGCAATTTCAATCCTTCAGTAAAAGTGGTCATGATTGACCTTCTTTCAACACACCTGAGAGTGTTACAGGGATCTTCTCAGGAGAGCAGAGATGATTTGATAGATCAAAACCAAAACAAATTGTCACTGACACCAGCAATTATTTTATATTCAAAATCATGGTTATGGATTTTTCAATTGACAGCTTGGAGTCACCAAGTTTACCAAACCAACTCAACAAATCTACTTCCATAAAAAGAACTTCATTCATGATTAACATTGAAGATAGTAAACTGTAATTTAAAAGCAATATACGAATCATGTGACCATGTGAGGCAACATTCTAATACATGATAACTAAGTTAGAGAACAATATCAAAAGCTGACAATATGATCATCACTTTGATAAGGAAATAAATATTGCAACATTGCTCAGCCACAGATAACTAAACAAAACAAACACTAAGCTAGTCCTAACAACTTACCAATTGCCATAATATCATCATTCAAAAGATGTGAAATAATGCAATGTTCAAAAGCCTTGAGTCGATACCATGCATATTAATAAGAAAACACATTACTGACGGAGAAACACGGACGAAAAAAGTAAATGCGTGAATGAGTGTTTTTCGAGTGCATCTTTATCAGGTCCATTTGAAACAGGTTCTTCCTCAGAATCAACCATATCACAAGAATCTACCTTAGCACCACCGGAGGCAGCATTCACTCCATCGAGCAAAGCCAAGCTCTCTGCATAAGTACCCACATAAATCGAGTCTGTACCACCACAAATTCCAAGACTCTTAGATCCTCTGTTATCAGGATCATAAGAAATCACCTTACCATTCCTCCTAGCAAGCAATATCTTGCCATTCCTCCTAAACCCAAGCGCCCCCCCTAAGGCTCCACCGTGCAAATCAACATTGAATTGTTTGCTCCAGGACTCCACCACACCATACTGTTTCATCACCCACACCGAACAATGCTCAATCTTCACCCGCTTATCATACTGGAACACCGAAAGTGTGTCCCCAAACACTGCAATGGCCAAGTTCAGTGGATTATCATCAGCCAATTTTTTGGGCAGGTTCAGCTCACAGAACACCTCACCACCCACATCAAACCCGATAATGGTTCCTCGATGATTCTGGTTCGAACCCTCCCATTTGCCATACACAAGCCAGTGGATAGTCCCATTGACAAAAGCCGAAGACCAGAAATACTCAACCATGTTATAGGGAGGCACATTGGCTTCAATTGTTTTCCAAGAACCAGTTTTCAGCGCGAAGACCTCCACCTCAGGAGGAAAAATGTAACCCTCACCCCCTCCGAACAACAACGATTCGACACCGGCACTGGTGTCCCACGACCCCATTCTATGCTGAAGGTAAGCGATTCTTACAACCTTGTAATCGTTGGTGCGAGAATCAAACCCGAACCCAAGAGCGAACATGTAGGGTCCATAGGTGTGGAAACAAACGCGAGGCTTGGGAAGGTTCACACACTTGCGAATCGCAGGGTTCCAGATGATGATAGTATAGGTGTAACCAAAATGGTCGTCGGAGAGGCAAATCAACCCATTGCAAATACCCACCATTCGGAAGAAGCTATTGTTGCGAGTCTTGAATGGGCATTTGAGTTCGAAGAAGGACTTGTCATTGTCGTCCACTCGGAGCGAAAAGCGCTCTTTCTTGGGGTTCAGAGAATAGTATTTGATGAGGAGGTGAGAGTTGTTGGTGTGGGATTGATTGAGGTGGATAGCGATGAAATTAGGGCTGGTTATGAGAGAGAGCCAAGACTTAGAAACGCACCTGAATCTGAGCAGAGATTTGGCCGGAAGTCTTGAGAGTATTTCGGTCAACACTTCTTTGGGAAGTAGTCGGACATCGTTGAAACAGAGGAAAATTGAGTATTTCAGCTAGGGTTTTTACACAGAAAGAGAGGAAGAGAGAGATGAGCAGAGAAATGAAAGGATGTTCTGGTCTAGCACCGCCTCTGCAGAGAAAAGCGAGCCAGCTGGAGTGAGAGTACTGTTGGGAAACGTGCAAGTTTTAAAAACTTTTCGAGGGATTTTGATTCATAGATCTTGATTCATCACATAGAGACAAGTTTTATGCAAAAATAAAAATATGATGTATCATTCAATTAATGGATTGAATACTTACATCAAAGGTCTGAGTAAACCTTTAAAACTTTCCTCTAAAGTGAATGTTCTCACTTATTGTAGATCCCTTAGCAAGATGCCTTCTCCTTGGATCTCCATCTTCTTGGTAATTATTTTGCCTTTAGGAATCACTCATAAGCCTCCATGAATTACCTTGAAAAACTAGGCTTGTGGGAGCCTCTATTAGATGAGACCATAAACCCTAATTTTCTAGAGAGAGAAAATTTATTCCTTTTTCCTTCTCATAAAAATCACCCCCTCAAATATACATAGACCATGTATATTTATAGGCAACATAAAATAAAGAAAAGGAAACAACAAATCCTTCTCCATCTCTAATTCATATGTCTAAAATCTAATATGATTCCAATATCAAGTTGGGTTATGAGTGAGAATCCATTGGGCCTATTATTTTATTGGCTACAATGAATTAATAATTGGCCCGGTCCATGGACCCAATTCAATTAATTCATAAATTAATTTCTACTCCACTAAAAGAAATTAATTGAACTCCAATTAAATAATAAATAACCTCTAAGTCAATATTGCACTTTGACCCCTCTATACATAATTAGTTATCGGATAAATATAGCCATCAATCCGACTACTTAATTAATATATTTATTTTGGTACCTTTGATTATTTCTGACTCGATCACAATAAAACATTTGTTTGACAAAAATAATAATTTAAATAAATAAATATATAATAAATCATTTTGTCTAAAAACACACGAAGGCCTTCGAATTTACTTTGTGATCAACCATAATCAATACAAAATAAATACAAGTAGCAATGATGCAAATATTGAAAATATAACCCTCTAACTATTAATTACATAACTACCCAAAGTGTCAGTCTAAGGATCCCGAAGAATCCGCCGAACAAATCAAAGTAATTATTAATTAATAAAAGAGTCTATAATTTTCTCATGCTTAAGAGTCAAATGCCATGACGGTGATAGGGAGTAATTGCATACGACGGCTCTCGCAATATATCTCAACCTAACGCGGATCCAGTTCAAGTCTTAATTAATTATGAGTCCATCCATAATTACCGACTATGAACAATTTATAATTACTATTTATATATCATGCATTGATTGCCATCACATACATATATATAAATATTTCTTGTAATTACATGGACACTATCAATTTCATAGTGAATCGAAACATAATACATTGAATTCACCAATTATATAAATCATAAATATTTCAGATATGTCAGGAACATATGTCACTATAATCCAGATAGGAATTTGCTATGCCAGGGCATATAAATCCCAACAGCTCCCACTTGCCCTCATAGCCAATTCAAATTGCACCTAACTCCAATGTTATCCAGATGATGATCAAAATTATTGATCAATGACACCTTCGATAATGGATCAACAAAGTTGTGTTCCAATGCAATGTTCTAACTACAAGTGCATTTTCTTGTCGGACAATATCATGTAGAACATGATACTTCCTCTCAGTGTATCTTGTTCCTCTATGGAACCTTGGGTCATTGGTTTGGACTACTTCTGCACTATTGTCACAACATAGCTCAATAGGCAGGCTAGTATACTCCACAACCTCTAAATCAGTGAGATCAAACTAATAGGCTTCCTTTGCCGCCTTTAAGGCTGCAATATATTCCACCTACAGGTTTGAGTCAGCAATTGAAATCTGCTTAACAATCTACCAACTGATCTCCCTTCCATTAAGTGAACTTACACTGAGTCATGAACCTCATAGTATCTACTTCTGATTGAAAATCAGAACTAGCATACCTGACTAGGACCATATCATCACATCCATAAATGAATATGATATCATTGGTTCTCCTTAGGTACTTAATGATATTTTTCACAATAGACAAGTTGTCAAGTCCAGTATTGGACTGATCTCTACTGACTATCCCTACTATGTAGCGGATGTCCTGTTTGGTATAGACCATGGCATATATGAGACTCTCATATGCCGAAACATATTGTTCCAGTCTCATTTGCTCAATCTCCTTTGATAGTCTTGAAAAACTACTTACTAGAGAGAGCCATCCATATAAATAAAGCAAGAACTCATTCTTTGAGTTATGCATACCAAACCTGGTCAAAACTTTATCAATGTAGGATTATTAAGATAAGCCTATTTTCCTTTTAACCTGATCTTGCAAAAGCTTGATCCTAGGAATCTAGCTTACATCCTGAAAATCCTTCATTTAAAAGTAATTGAACAACTACCTCTTTATTAATGACAAAACTTCCACATCATTCTAAATGAGTAGGATGTCATCAATATATATAGAATTAGAAAAATAATGACATTCCCTTGTACACTTATGATTTATTCACTAAGAAATCTTCTGGTATCTATTTGTAGATTAACTTGCCTTTCATAGGAATCACCATACTAGAAAGTTCTACAAGATCCCAGAATTTATTAGAATACATAGATTCCAACTCTAATTTCATAGTAACTTACCAAAACGATCTGTATCCACATCGGTTCACGCTTCCGTGTAGCTTACTGGGTCCAACTCATGTTTAACAGGGATGTCCATAATGGTCTCACCTAAAAACATGATTCTGTCGAATTGGATGATAATCCTCCCACTACCTCAATGCACCAACGCAGGAATCTGTGTACTAGATGATGCTAACGCATCAATAGGGAATTCATTTATTATTCTCAATCTCTATAATAAGTGTATTCACATGTGGTACATCTGGTACTCATACCATATTCTCTAACATTATGCTACTAGGTATGTAATTCATAATATGATCCTCCTATAGATAAACAGCGAGTGAAAACAATCAACTTTTATCTTTGAGATCATAAAATAATCCATCATAGTGACATTTAGAGTAGCTATCAAATCTAGCATGCCTATGATCTGCTTCCAACTTACTTGTCCATATCAAGCGCACATGTGCAAGACTACCCCATATGTGCATATGATTCAAACTAATATTTAGTAAAAAAACACAGCTCAACGGTATCCTTGAGACAGACTAAGATGGAATGCAGTTCATAATGCGCATCGATGTCATTAACGCTAAACTCTTAAATGAAAGAGATAATGTAGCATAGCTGATCATAGATCTAACCATGTTAAGTGGAATTCTGTTATTCCTATTTGACACCTAAATACATTTAGCGTCAATTGCGGAAAACTGGTACATAACACCCTCATTGACCATATAGTCTTTGCACTATCCCAAGAAATACTCATATCCTCGATCAGATCGAAGTGTCTTGATAAGTTTACCTAATATGTGTTCCACATCAGTCTTAACCTTCTCAGAAAATACCAAGAGTTTAAGACTTGTATTGTATCAGATAAACTTATCCAAAACGTGAGTAATCTTGCTTGGATGTTCATAAGACCACACGTGTCAGTGTGTACCGACTCCAATTGTCCTTTATGTCTATTTCATCTGGCTGATTAAGCCCTAAGAGTTATCTATCCTTCAAAACAGGGTTCACAAGTTTGGTTTAGGCTCCCCTGCCTCACTAGGTAATTAACCTTCATTGACCAATCTTTGAATCTTATTTTGATTGATAACAACCCAAAAATAGACATTAAAAATACAATGAGTCAGGAATAACAATTTTTCTCTTAACATTCAATCTAGAAGATGCAACATTAGTTTTTACATCCTGCAAATCTTAAGAGTTTGTGATTATAGTATATTAACCATCTTTTAATGCACCAGAAGCAATAACATATCTATTCAATTTTATAAAACCAGTTTTACAAAATAACAACACAGTTTTTATAAACCACAAGTGAAACAAAAATTAGATTGCATCTAACTTCTGTGCATAAAGATAGTTCTCTAATACTAATATCCTCATACTCTCTAATTTCAGATGTAATACTCCCACTGACCTAACTACAACCTTGGCATCAGGTTAAAAAATAAATATATATCCATATCATCAAGGCTTCTGGGTTCCTGAAATCCTTACGATGAATTGCAAATATGTTTAGTGGCTCCAGAATCTATCCATCAGGAATCTATAGATGCAACCACATAACATAGCTCAATGATTAAATATATATTTTCCTATGCCACGTCATTGCTTAGACAGTTCGTCCTATAGTGTTTTAGTTAACGGCAAAAGAAACAGTTTCACTCGCCCTCAACATACACTGCCTTATTCCCTTTAACCTTTTAGATACCTATGTTTTGTGCTAGCCTAGTCCTATTATCATCCTTCTTCTTTGCTTTGCCCGTCCACTTGGGCCTAGAAGAAGATGGTATAGACTAGGTTAGATTGATAGGAACACCCAACCTCTTGATTATCCCTTCATCTGTTACCAATTCTATAAGAATATCAGCGAGTGTGAACTCAAACTGATTCCTTATTTAGTTCACTCTAACAGAGTCGAATGAGTTTGGTAACAAGGCAATAATCATGTCAACTTGAAACTTACCACCCAAGTCAGCCTTATTGATCTCCAGCTAATTTTTAAATAATAAACAATCATTTTTCAAAATTCGATTTCATACTGGAGTTCCTTAGGCTATCTTGATGCTATTCAAGTCTGACATAGTACTTTGGCATACTCTCTATCTAATCTCACCAAAACATTTTATTGACATTTAACATGATGCTTGAAGAAAATAAAATAATACAAATGTTAGCTTTGGAGTATATTCGAGCTAAACTCTAGAATATTGCACCAAGTCATATCATTTGCCTTATCTAATTTATTAAAAGCATTAATGTCAAATTTGGTATCTCAAAGTAAAAGAG